GGTTTCTACCTATAACTTCTTCTTCTCCTCCCACTCCTCCTCCTTCTCATTCTCCTGTTGCTCCCAATTGGAATATACGTGAAACCCTTAGTTTCATTTCAGTTTCTTAATCTAAGACAGGCGGTAGGACTCTTTGGACGGGGGATCAGCCCGACGCAAGGCCGCTGCCTAACATGAACACAGAACAAATACAGACAGCCATGTCTTGAGTGGGATTCGAACCCCCTGATCTCAGTATTAGAGTGGGCGAAGGCGGTTCATGCTTTAGACCACGAGGCTCCTGTGATCAGTAAATATCCTAGTATGCGACGCTATACATTAGTAGTCAGAGCTATTTTATTCGAATTTCTTACTTTTAATCGAAAGGATCGCGTTACTTTCAACAAGAACTGACGAATACTAAGAATGTTTAAATTCCAGTCGCTTCCAGAGGTTCGTATATTGAGTTTGGTGTTTATAATAATGACGATTAATGTAATTATAATAATATTAACTGCGTAATTCTAAGAAGGGAATGAAGAAAAATTAAGTGTCTGCATAAATTCTGTGAATAGTAATGTTTGTCAATAAAGATATGATTAGGTACTCCGTGTCTTCAGCATAACTGAAATCGCAACTTGGTTTTGAAATAATGATTTTCAAAGAAACTCAGGAGCACTGCCCCTTTAAATTATTAAAGAGAAGCATTTTCATCCTGACAGTCACGGACGCCTTGACGTCTTCCAGTGCCAAAATGAGGCGTCGCCATGAGTTACAGCATCTATAAAACGTAAAGTCTTACCGAATGCCTGATATTACTACACGTGTTTTAGGGGATACAGTCAGTTACTCAATTTTTGCCTCCTGACGGAAGCACAGTCGTGCCTGTAGTGATGACTGATGAAATCAACTGTACTAGAACTTGTAACGTAGCTCAAAAATGGCTGTGATTTGCGTTTAGCCTGCTTCCTCTCCTTATGGGAAAAGCATGTTCCTGAGAGCAATCATGTTGTCTGTATCTCTAGGTGGCATCCTTTTAACTTTGGAACTAATGAACCTATTTTCACGAAATTTTCTGTAAATATTATGCCATTGATGACGACGAGAATCTCATAGAAAAGTAAAACTCTCTCTGTAACATGCCGTGAGAGTCTACTGGATTGTGAGATCTCGAGGCTCCCACATTTTCTAGAAATTCTTTTTCACAGACGGCGTTGAGGTTGTCAGCCTTACTCACCAGCCAACCTTAACCCCCCAGGAAGATTCCTGGAACTCATTTTCGTTAGAGGCTGAGTCGATCCCAGGGCCATATTGCTGCTGGAAGCATTAGGTCAATTTAAAAGTGCAGTATCTTCATCAGAGTTCGAACCCGCGACCTCCCGGCTTGTAGCATAGTGCCTCAACTACGCTACCGCGTGCCCGAATCTCATGCTTTATTAATTTCGTACAGTGGACTATAAGAGTTTGGCAAGACACACGAACAATAACCGAGTCGAGTGAACAAGTCGTCTCAAGTAGTAACAATTTCACTTCTATTCTATTTTATTGACGGCTTCTGTGGACTTCCTCAGTTATTGTAGGCAAATGCTTAGGTAATAGCTGAAATGAAACCATGCCTGCTTTCTACCAATTCTTTTCCAATTGATTTTGCAGTAATCCTACCACTCCACGAGATGTAGTTTGAGTTACTGACAGCGTCGATAAACAAATAATAAAGACAAATATTAAAATGAAAGACACAGGTATAATTCTTTATACGTTATATTTTTATTAGAATCCATTAACGAGTTCTATTGTAAAGAGAAATAAGGACATTGCTTTATATGAAATACGTCAATTAGGCGAAGGAGGGGTTGCAAGTTGGTCAGAGTGCCTAATTTCTAACTACGTGGAAACAACAGGGAGATGAAACGTGCTTCTAAAAACATTATATAATGGAGAGGTTCATATTTTGTATTATTCGTCAAATAAACCCTATTAGTAGGATATTCAAATCAACGAGAAAAAAAAACTGATGAGGGTGAGTCATATATGATGCATTGGAGGATTGAAAAATGCTGGGTTGGAAACCCTGAAGGCAGAAGACCACTTTGAAAACTTGCTCATGTTCAGGGAACAGTATTGAAATTAATCATGAATCAAGAATGGGGCTGTAGACTGGTTTTATGTGACACAAGTTGGGAACCACTGGTGGGCCCTTTCCGGTCCGGTAATTGGTGAGGAATTTCTCCATTAACTGAACGACTGCTTGCTTCTGAAGAAGGGCGCAGTAGTTTTGATTGCCACCGTCTCGTCTTTACACAACCCCACTCTGAATTCATTGAATTTAATTATATTTGATCTATTTTATTATGTATTATTGACTCTGTTGAACTGTTTTCCAAGTTGTCTAACAAAAAGCATATTTTAAATTATTTTAAAATCGTATATCGATTAATACTCATATTATAGAGCTCCCATATGGTGAGAGGAAGAGTGGTGTATCAACCAGTTGGTAATTTAGAAAATATTTACGAGTTTTGAACAAGCCTTATTTATATCTTAATATTTTTTAACATACAGAATATAATTGCATTAACTTGGCAGCAAGAACGTGACTTTCAATCTATGCTGTCTCGCTGACATCTGCAAGGAGTACAGCAGGACCTCTCTAGTCCGAACCTCCTAAATCCGAATGCCCCTTAAACCGTCAGCTTTGGAAGTTACGAAATATCTGACTGACGTCAGACGACTGATGCTCATTTCTGTTAGAGGCTAAGTCGACCGCAAGGCCAGAATGCGTCTGGAAAGATTAGGTCAATTGAAAAAATCCACCTCATTTGGATTTGATCCCGCGACCTTCCGGCTTATAGAAAGTGCCTCAACCAACTACGGTACTGCCTGCCCCCAAGTACACTTCTTCAGCACATAATAATAATAATAATAATAATAATAATAATAATAATAACAATGCACAGGGACAACTTTACATTTACCATATCTTACAATAAAATTATCTACTTACAACACTGATTTTCGTGTTATCATTCGAATTGTATTCAAATGCGAACTCTCTTCCCCTACTATAATCCGAACGAGCGATGTTTTACTCTTCAATAAAGAATTATAGGTAGCTTGCTGTAACACATTCGGCTCTGTTTCTGTGAGACCTGTCTTTGCGGGACAATCCACCGCCGGCCTCCTTCCTGAGAACCGTCCACGTAATTTATAGTTGACACATGACGTTCATGTCAGATGAGGAACAAGGCTATGAAAGCGCCATAGAATTGTGCATCACCCACGAACATGTCTCGCTGCTCGACTCCTTATCTGATGCTTGTAATTTTTATAAATTAAAGTCGTGATGAGAATGTGGAGTGCTACTTGTTACCTTCGTTCGCCGGCTGTCTTTACACGTATGTTGCCTATTCTGTACGTGTATGCTTACCATCTGGACCCCACGTCCTTCTACAAGTCTTACTGATAACCTCTCTTTTTCTCTTGGAGCATTTTAGTTAAAATTCACACGAGCTTACCCTCATAATATTACATAAGAATCTGAAAAGTAACATCTTTGGCATGCATTAATTTCATTACAAGTATATTAGTTTGAATTTGCTATAAATTAAATGCTAAATTAGTGCTAAATTAGTTACAGGTTTAAGACATAAATAAATCAATTAAAAACGTAATTTTAGTAAGCTATATATTCATGCCATAATATAAGTGTATTTTAATTGTTTTAGTTGTATTAAAATCACAGTATTATTAAAGGTGTTTGCAATAAATAAGACAGGAAGAATTTTTTTTTACATTTGCTACTCTCAAGCAGAAAAATTCAAATTGTTTGAGAAACAATGTTTGTCAGTTAAGGTATGAGACTTGAAAAGCATGCACATTTTCAGCAATATCATGATTTCTAAACATGTATTTTGTATTCTTAGGAAGTCATTTCTTTGAAGCCAGTATGTTCTGCTCAGGTGTATACTTCATTCAATCGTCATGTGAAATGTCTCATTTTTAGGCCCATTTCTTAAAGTATGCTGCGTATTTCACTTTCACATCCTGTTGAGATACGCCTTATGAATGTACAGTCATGACGAAATGTGCATCCATAGTACTCAGTATATAAAATGCATATAATATTATACAGAAACCATCATCTTGATAACATAACAATTATTTCATTTATTTATTTATGCTATGAGTGAAGGTCAAAAGGCGTTAGTCTAACAGTGATCAAATAATGCACTATTTGGAAATCGCAGAGTAAGTTGGATTGTTATGCGAAATGATAATATGCATTAAACACCATGTTCTTTTTCTAAAATAGTACTTTGAAGAAAGTAATATACAAGAAGGCATTAGGCATTGATTTGGATTTTCAGAGGCAGCGCAAATAGTTCTCTTATTTGGAATTACGTGGTATATAAGCAGAGTTTAAAAATTTTCAGACTTCCGTTTTATTAGAGCCAGATCATTGAAATTTTGATTTTAGTGGAAGTAAAATTGAGTCGTTCGTGCGCTTTCTTTTGTGCTTTGACAGATTTCATAAACTTCACCCTTTGAACTGCAATGACTACTATTCTTACCACTTACTTTATCATACCAAATTCTGCTTTCTGCACACAGACTGTATTTATGTTTTCCATATTTTTCTCGCATTAAAGAGCGATCATTTCCTGAACAACATTAACCGGTTGGGCTTTGTAGTGGAGAAGTGATGTGTATCCTGTGAGGTACGAACTGAATTTTTATATCTTATTTAGATGAAATTTTGTCTTCAAAGGTGAATATTTAGAATTTAAAATGGATTCTCTAAATATCGAAAACTTAATTTTACTAATTTCCGTTAACCAAAATTAATGTGTCTTGATGTAATTCGTTATTTTTTTTAAATAATTTTATTTCCCACATCTCTGAAACGTAGTTTGTCGAATATGAAAGAAGTGTACACCTTATGACGTTTTTCCTCTAGCATAAATACCGTAATTTCAATATATTTGTCTCTTGGTTACCGGCGACTGTCTAATGGTGTCAAGTGATGTGGGGTTCCTCCCCATCTTCTTTCTTCCCGGCAGGTTCCCTGGCCGGCGTCGGGATGGGGGTCGGCGTCGGCGTCGGTTGTGGCGCCGGAACCAACCCTCTGGAATGGACGGGCCAAGTGACGGTCCGGAAGAAGCGCAAACCTTATTCAAAATTCCAGACTTTAGAATTGGAGAAAGAATTCCTGTTCAACGCTTACGTGTCCAAACAGAAACGGTGGGAACTCGCGCGCAATTTGAATCTGACGGAGCGGCAAGTGAAGATCTGGTTTCAGAATCGAAGGATGAAGAATAAGAAGAACAGTCAGCGGCAAGCGGCGCAACAGCAAAATAACAACAACAACAGCGCCAATAACCATAACCATCACTCCAGCAGTCAGCACCACCATGGAAGTCACCATACACAACAACATCACGTGGTTGCAAGTCAGAATCACCACGGAGCTACGACAGCAACCAATGGAACAGTAGCAGTGAAACACCATCAGTGACCAATGGCCTTCTCTGGGGTTGTCTTTGGCCATCACCACCAGTTTCACCACGGAGTCGCCACTTAATTTTATAGAATTGTAACAAGTTCTTTCAGGCACAAAGGAGACGTCCAAACAAAATATAAAGTTCTGTTTATTTAACGAGATCAATGTACCTGTTCAGTCGTGACAACCTGCTTGCCGTCTCAGTGCTAACGCACTAATCTGGTTAATGATTCCTTCAGGATATTAAATAAATGTGATGAAACCCGAAACTTAAAACCTTACAAAGATGTATGGACCACTCCTTTTGGCATCGAGTCTTAGTAATAATTTTTCCAAATCTTATCAAAGTGACGGTGCAGAAACGTAAAATCTTTATGAGGCCATAAGCCATATATAAAACTGTCTCTTGAGGAGCTGCTAGTAAGCTTGTCATTCTTGAACAAAACCCAATACTGTAATAAGTTTATTGGGTGACTTTTCAAAGAGATAAGTTTGTTTTAATGCAATATATTGTGGCCAAATTAAAAGTAATATTATTCACAAATAATTTACTTAAATAATTTTAAACTGCGACATTAGACGCAAGAAAAATTAAAAAGTGAAATCGGGAAGAAGAATTTGTTTCTAAATGCTGATGCTGAACCAGACAAAGGTCCTCAAGTCACAATTAAAATTCATGAAATATTATGTAAAATAATTTGTTTTAAGAGCTCTATTAATAACTTTGGATGTTTAAGTTGCTGTATGCGGTGTATTTAAATTTGACCATCACAGGTAACTATTGCATTCTTTGCTAACATGTGCCACCATTCAATTCAACTTACTTTTGAGAATATATCAGACTTATGTGCAGCTCATGACGTGAAATCGTATCCATGCCACACCGAATAGAATTCAGAGAAAGGAGAAGGAATTTGCTTTCGACATGATTTCGAATGATGAATTTTGCGTTCTATAGTACAAAATGACAGTCTTCAAAGCAGCTTTGATCAAGGTAAATAGCCACATGATACCAAAAGCAGTATTGTATGCACACCTAACGCCTATGTAAAGTAAGAGGAGTGGCGAAGATTCTCATAAAATTTCGATATGGCCAAATTGCGTTGAGCAAACACAACTGAAGACAACTCCAGAGGCCCCTTCACAAAAATTAGAAAGGAAAGGGGACAAGAACGTTTATTTTTAAAAATAATATTTAAAGAACCAAAAATCCTAAGAGAATGTGTTTCCTGTGCTCTTTCAGTGTTAATATAGAGAGTAATTTATGATAAATGTTAGTTTCCTTCTAAAGACCCTGCACAAGAAAATTAGAGAAACATTTTGTTTCAACGTATGTAAATTCTTCGAATTCATGAATTCTTGCTGTGGGACGAGCATTGTAGTGTCGTCATACCATTCAGCAAATTTTAGTTTCATCTGCTGTAGATGCACGAGTTATTCCAATGTTGTACAATCGTGTGGTGAGTCTGAGAAAGAAGGATTTAGAATAAAGCATTGGTGCAAATGAGAAGTGATGAAACACTGGATAGTGAAAACGACTGTTTTTTACTTATGAAGTTTTATGTTGTTTTTACCTGTTATTAGTTTAATCGGAATTGATATATTCAGCTGTTAGCTCCGTTTAACGTCCGCTATTTTATATATAAGTTATGCAGAAAACAAAGATTATGGAAAAATAGCTGAATGTGACTGTTATTGAAACTGTTAATTGAAAATGTTACGTTAGACAATGCCATGTCTGTGTAATGTTTTGTTTCTTTATTAGTGTACTTACTACTGTTTATTTTTTGGTTCCTGTTATTCAAGAAGGTAAAAACACCTTTTGTACAAAGGATCTGCTGCACTAAAATAGATGGAACACAATTTTTAGGAAATGGAAAATAAAATACAAATATAAATTTTGTATTTAATATGTTCGAAGAATCGGCAAAAACGAGATAATCAAAATCAGTATATAATGAAAACTTACGTCTGTTATAACATAAATTTTCTGACTTTGTAATAATTGGCAAGGAGGTAAAATTTTGGGAATATTAATTGAAACGAAGATTTATAATTTCTGGATTTAAAGGTTCGTAGTTCGATGAAAGTTACCGACGTGTCAGTAGGACATTCTGCTTTCATCTTCAGAGTCAACGAGTGAACAAAGAACAAGAAGAAGCCTCCATGAGACACGAATCTAGAGCTAACTCTCTTCTTGCGTCCTGTTTGATGTTTGTTTCTTGAATGTCTTCTTCTTCAACCCTAAAGATGGAGGCGATATGATCCACCGAAACGTCGTTTGGCACTCAGTAGATTACACGGCGTTATATCCCAGAGGATAGAAAACTCTTCATATTCACAGATTTGAGAGCCTCAAATTGAATAGAAATTGATATGTTGTCAACGATTGTGTCTGTGTTGCCTTTTTCATTGATCTCATGAAAACTACCACAGTACTTATTGAAATTAGAAGTCAGTATGTTTATGTACTTCATCATTCTTCAATCTTAGGAATGACTCGCCGGGAATATATTTCCAAACCAAGGAAACATACTTTCAGCCTTCCCCCAGGTAACATCTTTTTAAAATTCTCTAAAACGTAAATTAAATTAAATAATATTTTGAACTCACGTGAAGCAATACAGAGATCTGTGCTGAAGTTTAAAGTGGGCTTCAACATATTAAGATTATTTTCAAATTATTTGATTATTATTATTTGTATGAAATTAGTTTAATGATTTACAGCAGTTGATGAGTGAAACCTGTGTTCTGCAAGAGTTATTTTCAATTAATTGGTTCATCACTGAGAAATATATTAAATACTTACACATCTAGAGGCAAGTCATTTTGTAAAGGCTAATATTGTCACTGTAAATAATTGCAATATTTAAAGGTGACCAAAAAGTTTCAATTTCTCTGTGTTTTACGAAGGGACATTGTATCTAAAGATTGGGTGTGTATGACAGAAAATAAGAGTATTCTTTATTAATGAGATTTTCCTAGAACTACGCTGTACAGCGAGCAGTATTGTCTTAAAATACATAAGATAAACACACTAGGCCATGTATGTGTTAACATATATAGTTTTATTGAAGGCTAGTATGCTCCAGCTCTCAAAGCATCCAATAATTTTTTAGCTCTCATGTAATGATAAAAGGGCTAGTTCATCCGAATTATATACACATTACGTATGGATGCCATAGGTTTCGAAGTTTCCAAAAAGCGTTTTAAAAGATGAGAGTGAATTTCTTATTCTCTCTGCAGAAGCTGTAGAATTCTCCAAAGAAACGTTTCAGCAGCTCATTTTTTTCTGTGTCAATGTGAAGCAGGTGTAAACGGATAGAAAAATTATTAATGAAATTTAAATATAAGAAAGGTTAATGCAGTAGTGCAGATTGTTGGAAGATGTAACTGCTGCAAAATTGTATTATAGTAATGTAATTTAAAGTACATAATGCCTATCGTTCTTTTGTTTTTAAGTGTTACATGTGTGTATATCTCTTCAGAATGGTTAAAAGTTGACCTCATTACATTGTAACTGCGTTGTTATGTAATGTACATGTATATCCATGTGAATGTAGGCTAATGAACAGTGTGTTTTGTAATTGGCGCTTCATATGTTAACACATAATATTGTATCATAAATATAACAATGTTAATAAGCTATTAAAGTGGGTGGAATTTTGAAATATATACTGTAGGAAATAATTTTGAAGGTATCTCTCTTCTGGGATGTAAAATCATGTAGTCTAGCATGTGTCTATTGAAAATATTTCGAAACGTCGGTAAATGCAGAAGGCCCAAATTATATATACACTTCATCTCACAAAACATTTGCTTAAATAATTTATTGATATACTTCAATTCAGGTTTTAAAATCTCCGCAGATAACATCTGTTAAACCGTGTTATAGAGGTTAACTAGAGACATTTTGAAAGTTGAAGCAAAGGTATACTAATAACTTATTTAAGAAGATATTTTGTAAGTTGAATTATGTATATATGTTTTTGGCCCCTCTATATATATCAAAATGTATTACGCTACATTCAGATGATAGAAATCTTCGCATAATATATTATTAAATTCTCAAATTTCAAAAAATAATTTCTATAATTGAAATTAGTTTACCAGGATATATTTTTTAAAGAACTATACACATGTCTGTTCGCTAGAAAAGGGAGCGAATTAGATGGTGCATTTTAGTAAATTATGATAACAGAACAATATTTCGAATGTGGCTACACTATTTAGAATTATACTATAAAATCATAAATGTTACATAATGGTATAGAATCTGCTCTTAGGAGGTATATGTGTTATGCCTACATGTCGAAAATATAGTTCATTTGTGTTTTCACTTGTGTATAAATAAAAGGAGTGTAATATGTGGTGCGCTAATTATGAACAGCAACTGTACATTTGGTGTACCTTAGCTCGTACATAAATTAGATAAATAACAGGAGAAAATCGTAGAGTAGGGCCACTTTATTGTCATTCAAAAACTCCGTGTGCGTCTCAACAATTTTTATACATATTATGAATTCCTGAAAAACAAAATATAAATAGTTTGAAATTCGATTAAAGGTTTATACTTAAGGAATATCATGTCCTGTTGTAGGTCTAAGGAATTAGAGTTATATAAGTTTGGTTCAATAAACTAATAACAGTTATGTCCAGCGTTATTTCAGTATATTTAAATCCATTAAGATTGTTACACCAGACAAATTAAATCAGTTGCTGAAAGTTGATAAAATAATTTGATGTTTCTTGCAAGTGGGGTATATTGAGTTGCTGTGCTGAGGCGTTGCGAATAATCCTTGTTAACCAAGAGCACATACATTCCACTCCATCATCAGCCTCTGCGTTATTTTCATTCTCGGAAGAGGATACAACAGACGCGGCGCCCCTAATTTATTACATATTAAACTAGTGGATTATTTCTGATTTTTGAAAATAATTCACCCTTATTTTTTCGAAAACATGAATACAAAACAGACAATTAAAACAATTTCCCTCCATTAAGATATGTCCCGAAAAAGTAAATTGGCAAAACCGATCTCTAGGTAAACGAATTTTCTAATATAGATTGTAATAGATTTCTTTCAAATACATTGATCATTTTGTATTCGGAAGAAAGATGTATGTATGTTTGGAAAAATTATAATTAATTTTTATTTGCCTTAGAATACTTTTCATGCCAAATTAGTAGGATTACATATACAAATTCTGTTATGTTGAGAATAAACAAAGTCCTATTTTATAGATGAAATGGCCATTTACTTCTGTGCAATGAACCTAGTAGTTTCTCTAGTGATAAGAGCTGTTATGTTGGCGTTTAAACAAAGCAGGAGGTAGTTTTGTTTGAATTTTGAAAAATATATTTTGTTATATTAAATTGGTGATAGTGAAATAAGATTTGAAATTTTAAAAAAGATATTGTTTCAACAGTTTAAACCTGAAAATAATAGAATTTATTGGTTTTATTATTTTGATTTTATCTTTTAGGAAACGGTGTAATCAATGCAAGATCTGTGTATGATCTTGCAATGGAAAATATTTGATCCCACCCACATGTCTACATACATGTTAGAAAGTGACAGAATACAGTAAATCCACATGTTCATTCTCTCCAACTTTAGAAAAAAATCTAAGCATGAGAAACAGACTGAAGAGATGAATTAATGAGTACTTTTATTTAGGGGGGGGGTAAGAATATTACATGTACTTATGACCTAATATTGAAATTCAGTCAACATACATTTAAAAGTGGAAACCATTTTGTAAGCAACTATTTTTATTAGACTTATGCATACCTGAACTTAAATAAGTTTTCAAACAGGAAAAAATAAACAAGTTAATTCAGCTTTGGAGCATAAATAAATATATTGTTAGGTATAATATTAAATGTGCAATAATATCACATCAAATCTGTTTCCTTTGATGAAGGGAGACCCTTCATACCTTCACTGTTCTCGTTCTTTTCTAAGTCGAAAATACCAGCCTAATTTTGCTGATAATTTTCATTCTTGTTTGACGTGTATGTATTCGTGTGTGGAAAAGAAAGTATGAATGAATGAATATAATTTTAATCTTTAGGTATTACAAACAGCTGTCTCATCTTTTATATATAAACTAAATTAGCCTAATAGTTACTATTTGTCGATATTGTTGTGTTCAAATGTTGATGCGATATAAATATTAAGATTATTAAGTGTCGTACTTTGTCCGCATATTATGTGTTTTATAAACATTGTTTTTAATTGTCTGTATAAAAATAAAGCATTTTGAATTACGGCGGTGATATTTTGTATGTTGCAAGTGCGCTAAATATATAGATGAAAAGGTGTCCTTTTGATTATTATTTTTTCGTGCTGTCTTAATCATGAGATTGTTTTGCCTATGTATTCTGTAAATAAAACGAGGCTTATTTACAAGAAACCTAACTTGTGTATAACTGATTACTATAAATGTGGCCCGTAACATTGTTGGAACATAAATATGTATTTTTATGCTGCTCACATTTTCAGGAATCAAAATTGTCCCTAATTAATTTATCAAGGCTACTCAAATTATAATTATTTGCTAAAATTTATTTCCCACAAAAATATATATTTCTTTGGACTAAACTTAAAATTATTTAATCAAAAATTTACTTTGGAACAATACAGTAAGCTCACGTGTATAAAATTGTTCTTAAAGCTCCAGCTTCTATGTATACCATTTTTTAATATAACGCATTAATTCATTGTCTATTTAAGGGATTTTAAAACATACGAAATTTAATGTAAAATATATTTAAATTGGGGATATATTTTCTTATATATAAAGAGTGGCATTATTTTTATTGCTTGCAAAAATAGTTGGAAAATCGATAATAAACTATTTTGGGGTTTCGGTGTTTTTTATAATATTACCCCTGACTGTCCTTACATCGCATTTTCCTCACCTTAAGCTTTATCCACAGCAGCAAGAACAGGACGCTCGGTAAGTAATTACATCATTCAGCCACATAATCATCATTGTAATTCTTATGTTTTTGAAGGTTATAATAAGAAAAGAATCATCTTAGAATTGCCTAATTTTTATTTCTTGTGGTTACTTGAATCTGCTCCTTCGGTTGGATAAAATTTAGTTATGGTGCAAGTTTATTTGATTTCCGAATGAAGTAGCTAGACTTAAGTGAGAGTCAGGTCATACCCGAGAAAAGATTAAACATGATAAATAATTGTTTTCATATAAATTAGTTTTGTCCTCCATACTTTTCCACAATAGTGTCTACATTAACACCGTGTACTTGGCAAGAATTAAAGCAAAATTTATACATTTGTACTTACGAATAACATCCCTGACGAACCGAATTTCAATTTAAAATATTCTGTTTCAAGTTACGTGAATTTAAATACACCAAAGCAAAATATGTCTGCTGGAAGTATGTAGATTGGAGAAGAGTGGATCCAGAAGCTTTCATATGAGCCGAAATTCTCTGACAGACACTTCAGAACTGTTGAGGAGTGAGATTCACTAACTCCTACTCTGAGTACTCTCCATCCAATGTCGAATTTAGCTTACCAGATAGTTACAAACTGGAATCATTTATTGATCCAATCAGAAGGGACTGCTAGATAAATTCTCTAGAGGACCATTTTTCTTTATGTATTTATAGGTCTTCTCACTTCCTTTTAACACGGAACCATGGCATGAGAAAAGCACTGCTTTCCTGTGAATTGCTTAGGTGAGAAGAGCAGGTGGATGTGGCAATCTGGCAGACGAAATGCAGCTACAGCACCCCCTGCGCATAGATAAGCGCCGCACCATGAAGTATATATGGGAAATTGTAGGTATATCTTCATGTCTTTTACCCTCTGTCTTGCAGGGAGGTGGAAAACTGAATCGAAATTTATTAATAGAGATATTATTTAAAATTATAGTATAATAATTAAATTCTTTATTATTTATGTGCGAAGTCTACAGCCGCAAGGCCAATTACAGACAGAGCACAGGGTAGATACAAGTAATTACATTATGGATAAACACAACGTAAAGTCAGACAAATTGCAGGCAAGCACTGGAGGAAAAACAATAATGCAGACAAGTAAACAAACAAACAACAACAATAATAATAATTTCATTAACATAAATCTAAGTGTTATTGAGGACTGAGAAATAAAACGTATAAATATTTAATTGAGAAATGAAAAGTATAGATTTTCAGAGAGGATAATAATAATAATTCGTTTAGTTGTTGTTTATTGTACATGCAAATAATAATACGAACATTTATACTATATTTAAAAATCGTTTGGGGAGAACGTTCGTGGCTCCTGGCCCCTGCTTATGATATTAGCAGCTGCTGCACATCTAGCAGGGGGACAATTTTTAGATGAGGGGCAAACATTGAACAATGCAAAGTCTCTGATATACCGAGCAGGAACTCGGAGACTAACAATTTCCAGAACAGAAGGGCAGAATTTTAAGCCAAAATAACCGTGAATAAGAAAGAGAGCATCAAGGCGATGTCTCCTAGTACGTAGAGTGTGCTTTTTAACTCCTCAAGAGCAAGAGGATAATTGTAATGGACTTGAGGAAAGAAACGATTAAAACAAAGGGCCGCAAACCTCTGCTGGATGCGTTCCAGCTTGTTGGCATCAGTTGACGTAATCTATATTAGAGTCAATTTTACCGACCACAGAACATATTTTTATTATTATAACACTATTATTACACTATTATTGCCTATAATTATATAGCTGTGTTCGTACACGTGAGGATGACCTCTTGAGGTCGAAACATGTAGTGTAATAATAATAAAAATATGTTGTGTGGTCGGTAAAATTGACTCTAATATTGGTTAAATACACAACAGGATGCAAGAAACAATTAAAGTGACGTAAGCTAATTCCAGACTACGGACGCATATTCAAGCTTAGATCTAACTAACGCAGTGTACAATCTGAACATACAGTCTAGAGATGAGAAATTGAAAGTAATGCTACGAACTAGACCCAACAGTTTAACACAGTGAGAGAAAAAGTAATCGATCTGGTCTTGGAAATATAGCTTAGCATCAATAAACACTCCTAGGGCTTTCATAGAATCGGTCCGGGCTATTGATGATTGACAAAGTTTATAGTCGTAGATGCGTACGTTGGTTTTCCTGGAGAAGGATATAACTTTATAATAATTCAATTCAATTCAATTCTTTATTATTAATGTGCCGAGTCAACAGCCGCAAGGCCAATTACAGACACAGCACAGTGCAGAAGAATGAATGACATTATACACAATCTTATTAAAAGTCGAATAAAAATTACAGGTTAACACTTGAAGAAATAATAATGAATAAAGTAAAAGAAAACAAACAAATAGCTGATAATTATGACAGTAATAATAAGTTCATTATCATTAAACTAAGTGTTATTACGAATTCAGGAATGAAACATAAATTAAACATAAATATTTAATTAAGAAATGAATAATATAGAATTACAGAGAATAATAATAATACGTATACGTAATTCATTTTGTTTTACTGGACATGCAAATAATAAAATATTAACAGTTATACTATATTTAAAATTTGTTTGGGTTGAATATTCAAGTCTCCGAATACGTCAACATCCCTGCAGACAACATTAGCAGCTGCTGCGCATCTAGCAGAGGGACAATTTTTNAATAATAATAATAATAATAATAATAATAATAAGTGTAAAGTCTGATTTATAACAATCAAGGAAATTGTATTCTAGATTTATTTAATTCTGTGTCATTTCCCCTTCAGCGAAGGAAAACATTACTTTAATATTTCACTCCTTGATTTCTTAGCTTGCCGACTTGGGTTTATTATTCTTAATAAGGGATTTCAATATATGCTGTCTAGATGTTGACCTTAAAATATATAATCTGGTCCACACATTACGCTAATCAATTCTCTATAAAGCCCAAACGTAAACAAAGTGTTATGTGGTAACCAATTTTATGCAGTTTCCTTAAGGGTACCTTCCTCTTGTTACTTGCTATCTCTGGAAAGAGATAAGAGATGCAGGCAAGGGTGTGATCCGAGGAAGTTCTCCATGGAAGCCGTATGGACTAGATAAGAGGATTTGAGGATGTGGGCGAATTGGATGTGGATTCAGATGCCGTAGTATGTTGTTTCATTGGCGTGCCCTGGTGAATACCTTTCAGATTGCATAACTGGCAGGGAAGCTCTCCGTATAGGCAACTCTCATGAGACCAGCGAGAATAATGTGCCCATTAGGGATTATTTAATATGTTCTGTTCCAGTTTAGAATTAAGTTTAGACATTTGGGAGTGTTCCTCGGACCGGGCACAAACCTTCAGAAGGCCCGTACGTACAGAGGAGAAAGCATACACAGAAACGTACATCTGCACGCCTTGTCGACTGAAACCCACGATTCCTCTACTGAAGCATTCGAAAGCTCTTGTGGTCGGCCAGCATCTTCTTGGTTTCAAGGCAAGTCCGAATAGCGATACCCGAAGGCTTACGGAAATTAATTTGGAATCGTTATCTTTATGATACACGCGGGGTGCAAAGTATAGAATTACACATACTGAAGTATAAGAAATGCAGATGTTTAATTTCGGACAGTCCTGTTGCCAAACTGTTGCCAAGCTAGAGTGTAATTGGATACAAGACAGATTATTAAAATACGCAATTTTTCGTGGATACTATAACATTCAGTACTAAGTAGCGTTATATTTTAGGATTTGTGCCGAATGCAACGCACGAGAAGGAATTTATACTCTGTAAGTTTCAGAGCTATTTCAGATGTCTCTAACAGTAATACCGTTTACCATATTTGAAAGTGTATGCCTGTTCTGAAATTCTTCTTAGGAGTGGTACCTTATAGTGATCAGGTCTTTATTTCCGTTAGAAAAATGACGAAGTTAGGACAGAGCGAAATATACTATTTACTTCCTCTGACTTCAATTACCGGCAGTTTCCATCTTCAAATTTGAAGATGGATGAAGCATGTGCCTTCGAAACATCAGAATCCAACAGTAAGACTAAACTATGTCAAAACGTAGAAGACCAAGCTAATATGAACAATCATTGCAGTGAAATTTCAACGCTTCAAATCCTATTACCCTTCTCCATATTTTGTTAAATTGTTGTTTGACAAACACAACCTCAAAATATATTGGAATCGCAGTAACAAATTTTTGGGGATATAACGCCGTATAGTTCGTTGAAGGTAAACCGAAGTTTCGGAGGAACATATGGCCTCCATCTTTGTGGCCAAAGAATAAGCGATACAAGATACCAACTCTGTTAGCTGCCTGCTTCGTGCAGATTTCTTGCTTGGCTTATTCTTCGGTCTTGAAAATGGGGCTGACCTGTACCTCCGAAACGTCGGTTGACCTTCAACAGACTAGGGAGCTTCATATGAAAAAATGTAGAATTCTTCATGATCACCGCTGTGGG